CCGGCCTTCCCTCGGCTAATTTTTTTTTTTGCCCTTCCTCCCTTTTATTTTTTCCCCCGTGGCTATCCCAGGTGTATTTTGGGAGAGGTAATTCCTTCCGAAAAACCGGTCAAATTTTATTTTTGTCTGTTAAATCTTAATTTTTGGGCGTGCTGTTTTTAATTGTCTCGTTCCGGTTTTGAAATTGGTTTATCGTGGAAAGTATGGCGCATCTATGAATGTAATTAAATGGCTTCCCCCTTAAAATTTTTTTTATTATGTACTGGCCCTAAATTTCCTAGTTTTCTTCCAAATTATTTGAATTTATCAAACCCCCGGAAAACACACAAAATAAAAAAATTCCCCTTTTTCAAGGGCTTTAAATAAAATCGTAATGATACCAAGGTCTTTAATCCCGCGAAAAAGTTTTGAATAAGATAAGAACACTTTTTTTTAAAGAGGTTAAAAATTTTTTTCTAAAAAAATTTTTTACCCTAGTTAAAAAAACCTTTTAATTTGGCGGTAATAGTTTTAAAAAATTTAATTTTTGTTGGAAAATTTACCCGTCTGAAAAACTTTTTTCCAAATTTGTTTAAAAGATTTTAAAAAATTGTTTTGGATCAGTTTTCCCTTAAAAAAACCCAAATTTATAAATTTTCATGTACCCCCAAAATTTTAAATAGAAAAACCCTGATGAAAAAAAGGGGAGTGTCGATCCTTTTTCGACCCTTTTCCCCCCCCCTTTTTCCCCCCTTTTTCTTTTCAAGGGTGTTTTAAATTTTTATCGGGAATAATTTAAGTTATTTTAAAAAAAACCCTTTTCCTTTTTAACTGTCCCCTTTTTTTTGAAGGTAATGGGGTTTCCTTTCAAAATTGCCCCAAGTTTAAAAAAATCTTCTGCTAAATTAAAGTCCTCACATTTTTAGTTAAAATGGGCCTTTTTGTTCCCCTTGTTAAAAAATTCAAATTTTAAAAAAAGGAAATTAAATTATAAAAAACCCAAAATTTTATTTCCCCGACCAAATTATTTTTTCCCAAACGGTAGGATTTTTCCCTTTTCAACTGGAAAAAGAAAAAGAAATGTTAAATTAAACTTTTGGGACATTTCTTTCAAATCCCGTTTTTAAACAAATTTTTTTGGGCAAAAATTGGGGATTTTTTTTAGAAATTAAAAACCTTTTAAATTCCCAACAAAAAAGGAAAATTAAAATGAGAAAATTTTTTTTTTGGAATTTTTTATGAAGTTTTAAAAAGGGTTTTTTAAGTTTTAAATCAAACTGACCCGGGCATCTCAAAAAGTTTGAAAATTTAGGTGTAACAAAAGAACATACACAACACCTTTTTTGGAAAAGGGATTCATTTTGTCCATCACATGTTTACCCTTCCCGGGCTTTCAAAATTTTTGTTAAAAAGCAAAAAAAACCCTCTTTTTTACGTGTTGGGTTAATTTTAAATATTTGGGTTTCCCCTTTTTCTCAAATCCGCGGGGCCTTTTCCATTTTGGTATTTTTGAGCTTTGGGTTGCTTTTATTTTTGATTTTTTGGGCAGGGTTTTGCTCAAAATAACAAAAATTTAACCGTTTGAGAGGGTTTTTATTTGCTAGGGTCTTTTTTGGTTTGTTTTGGGGGGCCCTTAAAAAACATTTTCAAAATTTTATCGATTTTTGGGTTTAGAAATTTACGGGATATTACTTTTGGGTTTTAAAAATGAATTAAAGAAACTTTTTGCTTTAAAAAAAAAATTACAAAATTTCCCTTTTAAAAAAGAGGGAAAATTAAATTTTCGGGTTTTTTAAATTGTTTTTTTTAGGGGACAAACGTCTTAATATAAAACAAAACCATAACACTAGTTATCTATCTAATATAATATAAAAATAAAACCTACAAAGGAACATCAATCATTACAGTTGTAGTTTGCGTTGTTCCAGACCACAAATGATGTGAAATACAAAGACAAGATGACTGACCACGAAACCTGACCATGTAACAGTACTGAAAACTGTTTTGTCTTCAGTGGTAAATAGATGCTGGTTTACTGTTATAGCAATTCCATGTCATAAAATTAGCTAGTGGATTTCCGCCATGTGACGAACAAGATAAGTTGCCAAACTCAGATTCTATAAGTGAATACTTTTCACCGTCTGTGAATCCAATGATAACAGGTTTCTGTGGAGGATCTTGAAGTGTTTCATAAAATATTTTCAATAAAATATCAAATAATTAAAATTAACAATAGCTATACAAACGTCATTGATATCTTTAAACGTTACTAAACAAATACTTCACTACTCGACTAAACATTTAAGCAAGCGTTTATAATATAGGAATTTTTATTACACTCCTTAAAATATTTGAGTTGTATCGCTGTTTCTACTTGATTGAACAGACACTATGAATAAAACGTTGGATTTATTAAATTAAGATTGCAACATCTTATATGTTTTCAGAACAAGCTTAGATATCTTCCTCCGCTAAATCAGTTCTTACCATTAAGAAAAACTACAACAACCCCCCGTTCCAAAAAAAAAACTAACAAATAATATGTTTGTCATGCTAAAATACTCATATTGCCAGTGTTTTTCTTTTATACGTTGCGGACAGTCTCAATGTCGTTGGGCCGTGACATGGATATTTTTCTTAAAAATGAGATAAATGATTGCATGTTATAGATTGTTCTTTCTCTATATAAGTTTAAGGTCGAAAAACTTAGACAACGCTGATGCAACAATCTTTTATTAATTTAGTAGATTCAATTTGTTCTTAACAAAAGAAAAGAAATATGTGTTTGCATTGATTGTTAAATGTTAGAACGTTTTAGGTTTTAACTGTTTCTGCTTCACGAAGTTCTTAAATGTCAGACTGGGGACCAATGAATATCAAGAAATGATTAAACTAATTTCCAGTTATGTACGCTTTATTTCCAACATTACAGTTATCGATGGTAATTTCTATAAATTTATCAGAATATTGGAGATACAACTAAAATTTTCGCAAATACTTATAAACATATGTGAGCGTTATCTTTTTGTCAAAATTCAGTATTATAAGGAAAAGGGCAAATATCGGAATATAGGGAATTAGTAATGTAGACAATAAATGGAATGTTCTAATCATTACAAACAAAACATTTAAAATACAGCTTGTAATGACGGCTGTTTCTAAGCAATTGTTTAGGGTATCAATAAGAAAAAATAACCATATTTTAATTTCATCATTGATTAAAAGATTTACCAATTCTTAAGAAAACAACTTACAAGCAATATTCAAAGTCAATCTTTTGCTATGGACTGCTCTGGTTTCGTCGTCTGTCCACGCTTCACAATTCAACATCCAGTTGTTTATCGATCTATTTGGGTAAAACTGTAAGGCACTTTCGACATCTATAAGTCCATCCTTGCTTTCACTGAGTATCTGTGTTGACGAGTTTACAGTTATCTTATGTTTAACGCTTTTATCAGATTCATGGAGATACCAACTTACACTTGGTTGTGGTCGACTAGGTGATGTCTTACACTTGATTGTTTTGGTGAAAATGCTCTTTTATGTAACTTTGGTTTCCCGTTTGTTCCCACTTTTCAAAGAAACTGAAAAAACCTTTAAATAAAAAATGTAAGAAAGTTAAAAAGAATGAATTTCAAATTTCAATTTTTTTGCATAAACAAATTTTAATTTTTAAAAAACAGTTTTTTTGAAATAAAAGCTGGTTAGGACTGATAACCAATTTGGTTGTATTTTTACGTTTTCTTTTTAAGCAGCCAAACAAACTTTAAATTTTTAAAGCCCATAAAAAGGGTTTTTAATTTTTAAACCTCCCGGGAAAAATAATAACTCAACAAGAAATTTTTGGAAATTTTTTTTTTAAATTTTTTTTTTACCCTTTTTTATTTTGATAAATTTTTTTTCCCAAACAATTTTTAACTTTTTAAAACATTTAAAGAAACGGGGTAAACGTATTATCATGCATCTAAGATGAATTAAAAAAGCGTTGACACACTTCAAATGACTTATATAGAATAAGCTATTTAAAGAAATACTTGTAATATACTTATTCTATATCAATACATTAATCCCATTTCTTTAAATGTTTAATTTTTGTGTTTTTATTGCTACTGTTCTTTCTAAAGTTTAGTTCAGAAAATAATGTTATCAACTTGAGACTTTGTACATTGATGGATAATGTTAGAAAAATAACATTGTCCAAAAAGCATATTTCTCTTTTGCATTATTTGAGATGGAAAGGGTGTTTAAACCATAACAATAAATTATTATACACACAATTATTTACAATATTTACGAATATTATTAAATGATATTGGAATTAAAGGTTAAAGATGGAGTGTGATGGATAAGGAACGATGGGTGTATGGAAAGGAATTACTTCTAAGGAAAGGACGTACTCCCGTAGACAACAAATTACAATTTTGTTTTCTTTACGCTGATTTCAGACATTTTGGTCACGTCTCGAAATGCAGCCTCCCTCAGCGGGTTAAATCCTACATAATTTATTACAGTAGAACTTCTATGAGTCGAACTTCGATTAGTCGATTTTTCTCGATGTGTCGAAGTAAAATGAAAATCCCGATTTTTCCCCTTATATATTCCTTATAAAAACCTATGTATGAGTCGAGATTTTATGTGTCGAGTTTTTCGATGTGTCGAAGTTTTTTTTTTGGTCCGTAAATAATAAATCTACAATTTACCACAAATTAGTCGAAGTTCTTTGGTTATTTTGACACCTTCGGCTCGAGACATTTTCAAACCTATCTGGCCGCGAAGACGACTTCCGATCAAATTTAAGGACAGGTGTTAATTACACAGCCGAGTGTTCAAACAGTCTTTGTATGCGTTTAAATGTGTGCTCTAATCATTACTATTTAATTGCTGAAGCGGTATTTGAAAGTACATGTAAACAGTAAAAACTATCATTTGAGTATTTCCGTGACCCGGTGTCGCGTGAAAATCACACGCGAAATATTTACTAAAAGCTGTTTTAGTTATTGCCCTTTTGTATTGTTCGCCTTTTGTAACTTCATTGTATACGTCACGTCAACAGGGTGTCCAAATCATTAGCCGTGAAAAGTAACTTAACATGTCATATTTATCATTGTATAATGTAAAATATCAGATTAATGAATGAAAGAAAAATATAAAATAGGTTACATTATAGATATTATAATTAGGGCTAATCACGGGTTGAAATTTTGGCATGAAATTCAGACCGATTCATGAGTCGAAGTCCCGATGTGTCGGGTCCCTCCAACTTCGACTTACCGAAGTTCTACTGTACTAATTTCCAATTTCTATCGACTATTTATACCATTTCTGACAAAAAACCTATATTACCACTGTTATATTTCGCCCTAAGAGTGATATTAAATGAATCCGAATCAAATAAATGTTTATCGGTTGTCATGGTTACAATAAACGATATAACTAAAACAAGAAATTTCGCAACTAACTCTTCAAATTGTGCCAGTATGCATGTGTCACATTTAATACAATATTAATAGTTGGTGTTTAATCATATTCATTATTGTGAAAACGTTTAAGTACCTTTCTTACCTTCTTCGAATATTTTAACAATATTACTTTTTCTGTCACGATCAAAACATTGCCACTGCGTATTAATATCTTCTTGTTGTACACGTAATATAGTTACGGTAAAAGATGTATCAGATGGACAACCAACTATGTAAATGTTGCCATCAGCGAGGATTCCACTACCACTACAAGTATTATCTTGATGTCTTACTGTTGTTGGTGTAGCTTGGTTATTTACAATCCACTTCGTCCATTCTACATTGATGTAACCAATATAGGCGCAGGTTAACGTTAATGACTCGTTTATATCTACGTATGCCTTGGTGGGACTTAAAACTATGCTTTGACATGATATACCTTAAAAACAAACAATATTTAGTCAGTTAAGTTTAGCATACTATTTTTTTTCCGCCGACCGCATATTTATGAGAAAATTTGAACACGCAATTATCCTAAGTATATTCTATGCTCAAATTTTATTTTTAAAAATATCAATAATTGCTACACAGTCTCTTTGTATGTAAAACATAAACATGTTTGGAATTCATTTTAGGTAGATATCATATGTTTTGAACTCTACACACTATATGTAGTCACCATATGAATATATAGTGTCATTAAAATAACTGGCAGTTTTTTAAGAAAAGACCAATTTTACTTGACCCGTAATAGGGAATGCAGCTTCCCATACATAGTTTATTCATTATTTTATTCAAAATAAACATATTCAGTAAGAATTTCATGGATTTTTAATGCATTAATTAATTAATACTTTACCAAAAGATGAGCATAGTATATCTTTAAATTTCGAAAGAAAAAATGAACATTTCCATACCTTTGGGAGATTAACTTATAGTCTAAAAATGTTTTCATTGCATTGGAGCGGATTTTTGTATGAGAGAAAATGAATATATATATATATATATATATTCCGTAAGTGGATATATAGTAAGCTATTAAGCTGTTTTCCGGACGGTAGGTTTATTGGTTTGTTTGTATTTTGTGTGTGTTTTTCGTCACTCAGAAAAGGGTTATACCCTAAACAACTTAATTGCAAATGCGCTGATAAACCATAGCACATTGCTAAAAAGATTTATGACATATGAATTGAAAATGGAAACATATTGTATCGAAGAAATTAGTTCATTATATAAATAAGATGCAGCTGTACTGAAAATTATTATTAATTGCATTAACGATTGACTGATTTTTGTACTTACCCTGAATGAAACATAGAGCAAGGAAACTTAAATGAAATTTCAAGTTCTGCATTTCCGAAAGTCAGCATATTACCTATAAATATTCAGTAACCTGAAAAAGTATTCTGTATAGTTACACATGGCTACATGGAGTCGTAACACTGTTTCAGTGAGCATTTAAATTTTCAGCTTGAAAGGAACGCTGGTTGATTTATTATTAATGTAGTATTAATTATTTTTCACAAAAGAAAAAGCCGTGTTACCGGCGTGTCGTGAAAACGAATCGTCATACAGTTACCTTAGTAACGAAATACCGGAGCACGACACAAAATTTCTTTCTCATTTGAGACAGATTTCCCTTTCAAGTGATATATAATTCATGCTATTATATCAATAACTCTCACGACAATAACTGCAGAGCACGACTTTTTTGGACAACCCTCGTATAAATAATTCGAAAAATTATATAATTATATTATTATAGACTTCCTTTTCTGCAAATTTCTCGATTCTCTTCTCCATATTACTAATTAATCAAAGCGTTTTATAAAGCGTTTTAGATCAATCTTGCGTAACATGTTTATAACGAAAATAAAATTAACTTTATGCAGGAAGTGTTTACTTTTATGATTTTCTAAGTGCATAAACTGAAAAGGTAAAAACTATAATTTCTCCCGTGAAACCAGCAGACAAGCTTATCTGTCCGGATTGTGTTTGTCTGGACGATAACTTTGAAATTGTTGATGTAAGTTTAAGAAACTATAAACAGTGATGAAAGGCAAAACGAAAAGGTGCATAGCGCCAAAACCATTTCTATTTTCATGTCCTTTATACTTAGAATTAGAATGTTAGTTTAAACAATTTTTTATTGATAATCCACACATTTACATAATAAATTACATAAAATAAAATTTACGGATTGAGTAGGAAGCTTGTAAAGCTTTTTTGAAAACTCTCTCCGTAAATTAGAATGTTAGAACTATAGAAAATAACCTAATACAATTTAAAGGAACTTAGTATAGTAATAGTTGGCTTTGAGAGAAAATATTAAACACAAGAACTGAACCTCTGAATTTAGGACGTTTTGCATTATTTTTCTTCATGTTTTTTCTTAAGGTATGTCTCCTTTTAGTCTTGTTGATATATCTATGTCATTTATCAAATAATTTCAATGATCAAATCCCCCTTTGAATAATATCCCGTAATTATAATAGAAACCCGGTTCACACGCTTTAACAATGCATTCATGTCTTTCACCTCACTATTTAAGGCCCATAACTAAGCATTTTATTGAATATAAGGCCTTTTTAGCTACACAACTTTTGTTTAATTTTACTTGAAAGGTCAATCTTAACAGCAATGTTGTATTGTTTTCCATGAGGTAAATTGGAGAGAACTAGAATCCCCGGAGAGTGTCCAATAAAAAATAAAAATAGTTCAGACTCTTCTTTAATGAGCCTGTTAATGGACGGTTCTGCAAAGTGTAGGTTACCATACACCGCATTTCACCGGCTAAAGCAATTTTCCAAATTTAAACAGGTAATTGTTAAATACGATTTTAGAAACACATACGGTGGTCATCATGAAATATTCAATGCGACATTTTTGTGCTATACAACGAAAAGCGGCATATTGTCCCCAGGTTAAAAAAATCATATTGCCCTAAAGGAGGAAACAATGAGCGGATATCAGGTATTTCTTTGTTTTTTATAACTACCGAAGGTATTTAGTTAAAACTCAACATTCATTTTAGGGTCGGAAACGGATGATTGTGTAATGTCTTGCATTAATTTTGATTGAATAACAGCCCGTTGAAAACTAAGAATTCCTTGTTCAAGTTTTATGTGAAAATTAATCTCGACATTTACTTAACATACTTACACCGAAATTCAAATAAGTATGCCATTACGATCGTACATTAGGCTTATTTCCAAAGACACTTAAGTGTAACAAACAATTTTACTGGAAAATGATTTGTTAAAATTTTGCGTGCGAAATACTAGTTCAGGTATTCTCTTTTAACTTTCCGGTAAATACAATTGCACAATTACGGAACAAAGAGTTTACACACAATGTTTCCAGAAAGGGAAATGTTATGGGTATCACACGTTTAAGATGAACAAAAATTTGTAGTTGCAATTTTGTCATATCATACTCAAAAACTAAAATGAAACAACTTAGCAAATGCTCAAGCCGATAAACAAAATTGTTCTGTCTCGCGTTTCTTTTTAAGACGTAAAAGTTTCAGATCTATTATTGTTTTGCTAACGACAAAATATGTTGCCTTTCTTAGCACACCTGATTTTACTCAGGGTTAGCTATAATAATCGATAAATGTATGTCGTCTGAAGTTCGACGTTGTTTACAATTTACCTTTAACATTTGCCTTCATCGAATATCAAAAATACTGACAACTAACACCTAGGGGGAATACCCCTCAAAGTATGCTTTAATCAGATACTTTTAGATGCCTGTTGAGGTCAAGAAGAAATTATTCTAATTATGAATTCATGCGTTTGTTGTAGCATTAAATGAACCCGGACCAATTTTATTACAGACTATCCTCATTCCCTAATTATTTAATGAGGGAGCTTAAGACAAGTTTTATAAAATTTTACGCCGCAGTAAGCATGTCGAAAACAGAACACGTTGGCTAAAATGTATATATATATGCATGTAACATTTTGAAGAAAAAATATGAATCTTGAAAATATATTGAAGTTTAGATAATTGGTACTTTGTTAAGATATTTTAGCGTTACTAAATTGATATCGGATAATTTTGAATATACCAATAAATAACTACTTACGTTAAAATGTATCCTTGTTGATAAAATAACCTGCAGTGGGTATAAATACACCGCTCCATAACTTCCTGATTTGAACGATTTGTGTAAAACAGTAATCTAAGTATACATTACATACCTATAACGATTAAGGTCATTTAGTAATAAATGACGTTATCTATACTATAACGTATAATATTATCGACATTATATATTGTTTTGTTTTCTCCAAGTACAATGATCATTTACAGAATTGGTGATATATAATAAATATAGATCGAAATGCCTTTAGGTTTACCGTTTATTCGTTAACACGATTCATGTGATTTTTAAATGCATAGAGAAAACTAAAAACTTTAAATACCCAATCCAACAAACGTACATTTTGTGTTTTCTTAAAGTATTCACTTCCTTTACATTTAGGGTATAATGTCTCTGTCGGTTGATACATGTCCGTATCAATTTATTTTGCATACGTTTACAGACTCGGGTACGATGTAATTTCTGTCATCATATAGAAGAAAAAAAAGTATAAACAAATCAGAAAAAATAAAGTTTGCATTTACATATATCCCGTTTTATATTACAACTTAAACATAAAACACGCTTTGTCATGCTTGGTACATGTATTAAACGTTAAAAAAGTAATGAATCATGTTATATATTATCTAGAGCATAAGCTCTAATAATTATGAAATTACATCTAGAAAGATGTAACTATTTCACTTATTTAAATATGCATCTAACAGTGAATATAGTGAACATTGATATAGTTTTGAATATGAATTAAATAAATCATTTCTGTTCACTATGGCTAAATAGATAAATTTGCTTAATATGTTATTTTGAACAGGTCTGTTGTTTGATCAACGATATTTATGAAATTGTAAATAAAGTAGACTGAACGTTTCAGTTTGTCCAAAATAGCATTTTTCGCACGTGCGTTTTTCGTATAGCATGCGTACGTACATGGTGCAATGTACGTTTGATAAAAGCGTTTCAAAAGCGTGCATCGTTTCAGAGAGTATATCATTTATCGTTTTTCCGTTTATCGTGCGTTTGAAAGCGTGCGTTTGTTATCCTCAGAAACATTCAACTTTCGCTTGCGTCCGTGTTTTTTTACCGGATTTCGGTTCACGATGATAAGAGATTTAATCATACTTTACAAACCCTTTTTGGAGTAGAACCATCCCAGCCTGACTGTGAATCGAACCCGTAACCATCATAATACCATACCAGAGCTATCCGGCCGCTTACACATTATCTCCCCTAAATAGCGAGCAGTTCTAAACCAAAACATATTTCCAAGCTATATTAAAACTCTTCATTTGATTTCTCAAGAAGGAAAAAATGTGCAGTTTGACAGTGACTCGAACCCGTACCTTCAGAATACCATACCGTAGCTCTACCAACTGAGCTTTCCGACCGTTTACACTTTATCTTCTCTAAATGTCGAACAGTTATAAGTCATAACATATTTCCGAGCTTTATTGCAATTCTACCTCGAATTTCTCAACTTGAGAAAAATATGCAGCCCGTCAAGTAGTTCGGACCCATAACGCATAGAATACCGTACCGCAGTTCTACAAACTGACATTTTCGGTTATTTTAATATTATCTCCCCTACATTGCGAACCGTTCTAAAACATAACATATTTCTAAGCTATATTGAAATTCTCGAATTTCTCAGTTTAGGCAAAATGTGCAGTCTCACACGAACCCATGACCCTCAGAATACCGAACAGAGGCTCAACCGACTGAGCTATCCGGCTGCCTGCACAAAAATAGTCATTATCTTCTAGAAAGTGATTAGTTCGAAACCGTATTAAATCTCCCTACTAATTGAAATGTGTCCTCATGGTCTCATGTTTACAGAGCAATGTGAATTGAACTGGGCTGGGTCTGGGCTTTATAACGGCATAAAATAACCTGAGCGGGACTCAAACCCGTGACCTATAAAATACTTTAACGTGGCTCAAGCATTTGAGCTATTTGGCTGTTTACATATTTGCTTCCATAAATAATGAAAATTTCTAAACTGTGGCCGATACTTTTAGACATTTCAATTAACAGTTTTTTTAATTAAAATAATAATTGATACTTATTTATTATTATTTCTACTAAAAGGACGGAAACAGTTTTAGATATTGTTACTATTTATATCAGGTCAAATTAAAAATAAAAACTGTACTAATACATGTACTATATATGTTTCTTTGTGCAGATAAAAAATTGAAAATCCTTTTAAGGTAAAAATAGTTTATGGTGGCTGATTTATGCCATATTGTATTTAACCTATAGACAAATCATTGCATGTTTCATCGTTTAAAAAAT